GGCTTCATGGACTTTCTCCCAGAAATGTGAGGTAAACTGTGTGCCTCGATCAGATATAATCCTCTTAGGTACACCATGAAGACATACTATTCTGGTCATGTATAACTCTGCTAGCTTGGCACTGCTGTAATTTGTCTTAACGGGGATGAACCTCGCCGTCTTGGTGAGTCGATCCACGATCACCCAAATGGAATCATATCCTGTTGCGGTCTTGGGCAATCCAACAATAAAATCCATACCTATCTCATCCCATTTCCACTCGGGAATCCTAAGGGGTTGCAGCAAACCTGCCGGTCTCTAGTGCTCAGCCTTCACCTTCTGGCACACGTCACAGAGTGCTACGTATTCTGCCACATCTCTCTTCATGTTGGGCCACCAGTATACTTCCTTCAGATCCTGGTACATTTTTGTACTTCCGGGGTGCAATGAATATGCCGATTCGTGAGCTTCCTTTAGAATTAATCCCCTCAGTCCACCCTGTTTGGGTACATAAATCCTCTTTTTATACCATAGGACATCCTTCTCGTCGGTTGAAAATTCCTTTGCAAATCCTGCAGCTAGACGTTCCTTCACCTCTCGGATTTCCTCGTTGTCTTTCTGAGCCTCTTCTATTTGGGTTCTCAGAAGAGGTTGAATGTCCAGGGTGTTTACCTGCCCTCGAGGCACTATATGTAGATTTAGCTGGGCCAATTCCTCTTTAAGCTCAGGTGCCATCCCTTCCATTTCCAAATGATTGCAATGGCTCTTACGGCTCAAGGCGTCGGCCACAACGTTTGCTTTGCCGGGGTGATAGTGAACCTCGAGATCGTAGTCCTTGATTAATTCCAGCCACCGTCTTTGCCTCAAGTTCAGATCCGACTGGATAAAAATATACTTCAGACTCTTGTGGTCGGTGTAGATATCGCAATGGTTTCCAATCAGATAATGTCTCCAAATCTTTAGCGCATGAACCACAGCTGCGAGTTCTAGGTCATGGGTAGGGTAGTTTTCCTCATGTGGTCGCAATTGTCGCGAACCTCGAGATCGTAGTCCTTGATTAATTCCAGCCACCGTCTTTGCCTCAAGTTCAGATCCGACTGGGTGAAGATATACTTCAGATTCTTGTGGTCGGTGTAGATATCGCAATGGTTTCCAATCAGATAATGTCTCCAAATATTTAGCGCATGAACCACAGCTGCGAGTTCTAGGTCATGGGTAGGGTAGTTTTCCTCATGTGGTCGCAATTGTCGCGACGCATAGGCCACAACCTTTCCATCCTGCATCAGTACTCCTCCTAGTCCTTGCCTTGATGCATCACAATATATAACAAAGTCCTTCCTGATGTCGGGAAGAACTAGAATAGGTGCCGATGTCAGCTTCTCTTTGAGTTGCTCAAAGCTTTCCTGGCACTGTTCTGACCACACAAACTTCTTCTCCTTTTTGAGTAGTTGTGTCATTGGCCGGGCTATCTTTGAGAACCCCTCGATAAACCTTCGGTAGTATCCAACCAAGCCTAGAAAACTCCGAATTTCGGTCACCGACTTGGGTGCTTTCCATTCCATAACGGCCTCCACTTTTGCAGGGTCCACTGCTACTCCACCGGCTGAGATTACGTGACCCAGAAAAGCGACTTCCTTCAACCAAAATTCGCACTTGCTGAATTTTGCGTATAACTTGTGCTTTCGGAGTTTCTGGAGTACCAATCGTAAGTGTTCCGCATGTTCTTCCTCATCTTTGGAGTAGATCAGAATGTCATCGATGAATACCACCACAAACTTATCCAAGTAGTCCATGAATACTTTGTTCATAAGATTCATGAAGTATGCTGGGGCATTGGTTAGACCAAACGACATTACTGTGAATTCATACAACCCATAGCGTGTTGATAACGCGGTTTTGGGGATATCCTCGGTCCTAATCTTCAGTTGGTGGTATCCTGATCGAAGGTCTATCTTTGAAAACATCTTAGCTCCCTTAAGTTGATCGAAGAGATCATCAATCCTTGGTAGTGGGTATTTGTTCTTAATAGTTACTTCGTTCAGTGATCGGTAGTCTACACACATTCTCATGCTACCGTCTTTCTTCTTAACAAATAGCACTGGGGCTCCCCAAGGTGACGAACTGGGGCGTACAAATCCCTTTTCTTGCAACTCCCTAATTTGCTTTTTAAGTTCTTCTAACTCATTGACCGGCATCCGATATGGTCTCTTGGATATGGGGGCCGTTCCGGGTATCAGGTCAATAATGAACTCTATGTCACGATTTGGTGGCATTCCAGGTAAATCTTCTGGGAACACATCAGGAAATCGCTGCACTACGGGCATTCCCTTTAGGGGTAGCATGGTAAATATACCTCCGACACGTTCGGTTAGCCTAGGATCTTGATCCATGGTTGCTCTCATATCCGATCCCCAGGGTGTGGTCAGGGTAACTTCTCTACGTCTACAGTCAATTACTCCTCTATGCTTTGCTAACCAATCCATAGCCAAAATGACATCAAGAGTTTGTGGTATCAAAACCATAAGGTTGGAGGGAAACACCACATCCCTAAGGCGAATAGGTACGTCAATGCAAGCTGTGTCCACGGCTATTTCACCCCCAGGTGAATGTACTAACATTGGTTGCCTTAGTTTAACTCTGGTTAAATTGTGTTGTTGACTTGCTTTCAGAGATATAAATAAATACGATGCTCCTGAATCGAAGAGAACTTTAACTGGAGTGGAGTTGAGTGAAAACATACCCATTAGCACGCCTTGGTCCTCCTGGGCCTCTTCAGCTCGAACGTGGTTCACTTGCCCGCGTCCAAATCCGGTAGCGGTCCTGTTAGTCTGCGGAGTCCTGAATAGACCTCGTCTAACAGCAGGGGTAGTAGTCCCGTGAATAGCCGTTGCATTAGCTCCGGTGCGAATAGGTGTCTTGTTTGGATGGGGGCATTTGTTGGCAAAATGCCCATACTCCCCACAGTTGAAACAGCTTCCTGGCCTTACTGGTCCAGTGGCGGCCTGATTCGGTGCAGGAGCTCGGTTTTGAATGGTAACCGGCCTGTGGAGATTGCCGGAGGCGGCAGGTCGACTGGTTGTCACCACTGTTGGTCTCCATGCCGAAGAGGTTGCCCCTTTAGGACGCTGGGGTGCGGTCTGGGGCGGGCGGTTCATGGCAAGCCTTCTTTTACGATTGTGCTCCACGATCTTCCGGTCGTTTTCCAGCCTAACGACCTTATTGATTAAACTCTGGAAACTATCGTGGTCTTGTCCAATCATGGGCCCGCGCAACTCGTCATTCAAGCCTTCAATGAATTTGTCGATCGTTTCCTCCTCGTCGGCAAGATCTCTAGTCGCGTAGCGCGCTAGCTGAGTGAAACGGTTTAGGTACTCTTGTACTGTGGTATTCCCTTGCCGTAGTCTCCTGAACTCATTCTTCTTCATCAGCATCACCGCGGCAGGCACGAAGTTGTCACGGAAGGCTGTGGTAAATTCCTCCCAATTTGGTTCTCCAGCATCTTCTTCTCGGGCTCCTTTGTATGTGTCCCACGAGTCTCCGGCTGGTCCTTCCAATTGGTTTGCCGCAAAGATCACTTTATCGGCCTCACGTACTCGAACAAGAGTTAGCTTCTTCTCAATGATCCTTAACCAATCTTCAGCATCCATAGGTTCTTCAGCTGTGGCGAATGTGGGTGGCTTGGTCCTCATAAACTCTCCAAAGCTTGATCCACAGCGGTTGCCTTGGTTATTTGCAATGGCTTGCAAAAGTTGGGTTTGGGTGGCCATAACTCCGGCCAGGGTGGTTAGGTCAGGTGTCTCAGTTTCTTCATTGCTGGTTGACGCCCAACGTCGGCTTGCCATCTGTGTAGGTTGATGGAATAAGTATCCTAATTTTCTAACTAGCTCTTATGGTTCTATCCCATTAAGGGAGTTATTTTGGTGTGAACTTTGTTTCGCAAGCATGGTGGAATAAACTCATTTATAACACAACAGCAATAATATCGTAAATAACATCACAGAGTTCCACAAATAGTACATAAATCATGATGCAATCGACTGCACACATACGCAGTCCAAATAAGGTTCATCCAAAAGATACATCAAACTAACCATCTAGCTACTCGTCAATCTAGGTAAGGAGGGGGGGTGTGTGTCTCGCATACTATCCAAAAACCATCTGATACGAGATCGAAGTTGCAAGGAGTCCGTCAGTCTAGTCCTCTAGCCATCCGCAGGATCCTGGGGCAGGTAGAGGGTGGTCGCTGGCACGCGCAAACCTGAGTCCCCACGGCTCAGAAGTAGTGACCTCTGGATCTAGCTTGGGCCTCTTGCCCGGAGGTCGTGTGCTCTTGCGAGCAGTGCTGAGGGTGCGAGGGCCTCCGAGGAAGGTGATGCGGGGAACAGGGGTCTCATCCTCTGAAGGATCAGTGATGTCTGGCTCGATCTCTGGCTCGGTGTCGGTCCCCTCTGTCTCGGAGTCGACCTGGATCGGAGTCTCCAAACTGGAACCCAGCTGTGGAGAAGGTGTAGGGATCAGTGGAGTGTGTATCATCTCCGGGACAGGTGGCTGTGTCGTTGCCGGGTCCACTAGGTAAGGTGCTGCCTCGGTAGCTAGCATACTAGCCTCTCCCAGAAGAGCGTGGAATGCTGGTGGGTACGGCGGGGTAAGGAAGAAGTAGCGGTCACGGCCTACTTTTCAACTACAAAGTTGTAGGTCGCGTCGAGGGCTACAATTTTGATATAAAGTTTGTCTTCATTAGAGTTCACATGAAAAAATTATGAATTATTTTTTATATAAAGTTTTTAGACCGTCATGTTTAGGGACCGGGGTGACACAATTGAATAAGTTGGAGGACCTAAACGAGTGATCTGCAAGTTTAGAGACCGGGATGACACAATCGAATAAGTTTGAGGACCTAAACGGTCGATTTGCGAGTTTAGGGACCGGGATGACACAACGGTACAAGTTTAGGGACCGGTGATGGACTTTACTCTATACAATAACTTTTCCTGGCGGAAAAGCCATCACCCCAAGCCATATGATTAAAATTGTTCTTTGGTGGATACGTGACCTTGATGATTTTTTTTTGAAAGTTCAAACCTTGAAAATCTTAAATCCGAGCACAATCCCATTTTGACAGGTTGATTCATAAATCATCAAAATTCTTTACAAGTGTGCAGAAGTTTTATATCATGCATTTCCTATTGAATTCTGTGATCGTCCGTTCTCATCCATATACCATCTGTTTAATCTCTCTCGAGTAATCTCTACCTGAAAAAATTAAACATGAAGCACATCATTAAATGAGAAAAATATGCTCTTCTAATGACCCATGAATTTTCTAGAGAGACCCTTAAATTATTTGAAAAAAGATATTTAATCAGAAAAAAAGGATAAGAAAAAAATATGAGCAGAGGTAAAAAAAGGCAACCTGTTTTTTCCAATTGGTCCTAAGTGTGATGAATAGAAGCACAAGAGTCTGGACTAGTGTTCCAAGAAGCATGCCGATCCAAATGCCCTGCAAAAAGAATGAACATAAGTGAGGGACACAACTTAAATCCAGATTAACTAGTGAAATTCTATCATACAAAAATTCCTTACCTTTGCTTGAAATCCTAGCACATAGCCTAGTATTGCACCAAGAGGGATACCAATCAAGTAGTACGATGTAACATTAACATAGGCAACTACACTTTGCCAACCCGATCCGATAGCGACACCTATAGATAAATTAGAAAATTAGTAATTTTATTGTTAAATTTTGAATTACTTTGATATACTTGTCCTTCAAATGGAATAACATACCTGAGAGCACTGGTTGAACACTATTCAACAAAATGGAGAAAGCTAGAAGGGGAGCAAGATCAGCGACTTCATCTGCTACTGCCTTACTTTCAGTAAATATGTATGCAAGGCTTCCACGGAAGAAAAGGAAGAGCACAAACAACACAAATCCTATCAAGAAAGAAGTGGTGACCACATTGAAAATGGCAAACTTAGCCCTTCTTGCACTCCCGGCTCCAAGTTCATTTGCCACCCGCACTCTAAAAATGTACATGCATTAAGTATATGTCAAATTTATGGTTCATGTTGCATCAGTTAGATGAACCACATAGTGAGTGACAGCTGAGATCGTGAAGTTACCCTATTGCAGACAAAAATCCGATAGAAATCATCATCTCCCAACCATTGATATTAAGGCTACAAAGTTTGCAAGTGAAAACAACAATGTTCAATAAGCAACCTTTTCAATTACTAGAGGAGAAACACAAAACAATACAATGATATACATGATACAACATGATCTGGTTGTTGTTTTCTAAACTAATACACAACAGATTAGAGTGGAATATATTACCATATAGAAAGAGCATCAAGAGCAACCTCTGCATTCTTCATATAACCAGTGAGGAGCACCAATATGGTGTTGTACCACAATTCTAAACTGAAAAGGTAAAAGAAAAATGAGAATAAATTAATGAGCTTCTAATTATTTGTATAAAAAAACTTGATTAACAGTTAGCATCTAAAATATTAACTTTCTATTTGCCATCATCAATTTTTTTGTTGAAAATTTCATATATACACATAAACGTAACCATGTTACTTACCAAAGCATCACTCCAGACGATAACGAAAGCTTCATAATAGCACCAAGATCAGTAAAAGCAGAGGATGAGAACCCTGTCCATGTTAGAGGGCAACCACCAAAGAAGACAAAAGCGAGTTGGCCAAACACAGGGATCCAAAAGGAGATGACCATGGATCCCATGACCCCAGCAAGACCAAGTTGGAACTTGACTGTTAGGAGCCATGACAAGAAGAGGTGAATCCCAAGATTGAGGAAGGCAAGGTAAGTGACAATCATGTTCTTGCTCTGCGCTTGTAGGTACATTTGGAGCATGAATGCCCATATGTAAGAGAACATTACGGGGATGTACCATAGAGAGATGGTGCCAGCGACGGCAGAGATCTCAGGATCTTGACCGAGAGCAATCAGGAGTGGAGTTGTGAAGATATAGACCGGGAGAAGGATGACTGCACAACAGAAGAGAACTAGCCATGAGCGTTGTAGATAGACACCCAACATGTGATATTGCTTGGCGCCATATGATTGTCCACACAATGTTTCTAATGCGCTCGCCATGCCAAGCTGCAATTTACAACAATGTGCATATACGGTTAATTTGTAGTATATACTGTTTTTATATGCATATCAATAGATGACTTATAGTGCAAATTAATATTTAGTAAAAAGAAGTTTTCATAGGAGTGACTTGTAGTATGGTCTGGTTATGTTTTATTTGTATATTCCGTTCAAAAAATCTAGGTAAAGACTTTTGCTATTGTTGCACAGCTAGTAGACAGAGGTAGTACAAACTACTTTAATTACAGAAGAAAAAAATATATATCAGAAGATCCAACAAGAATACACATGAAAAAAGACCCGGCAAAAAGAATACATGAGGTAGATGCTATATACTCCTTCCGTCCCTAAATATTTAATGCCGTTGACTTTTTTAAACATGTTTGACCGTTCGTCTTGTTTAAAAACTTTTGTGAATATTATTAAAAAATTTGAGTAGTAGTAGTATATTTAACAATGAATCAAATGAGAGGAAAATAATTAATAATTACTTATTTTTTAAAATAACATAAACGGTCAAACATATTTAAAAAAGTCAACGGCGTCAAGTATTTAGAGACGGAGGGAGTACTAATTAATGTCTGGAGAGAAAGCCGTGCAAGGGAAGGATGGCTAGGTCAAGAGTCTACTTCAAAGTTTTACTAGTAATTTGAAAATCCAAGGAGGCAAGGTCTCACATGATTAATTTTCTTCCTGCAGTATGTACTATATCCATTTTTTTTTAAAAAAAAAATCGAGCCTATAGCTTCTTAGCTATAGTACAACAATGCTGGACAAGATCGAACACTCTGTTTTGAACCTATAAAGACAGCAACTGAACATCCATTGTTTGTCTCAATTAATCGATGGGCAAATTAAAGCACAACAAAAAACTTCCAGCGCGCGCGGCGCTGTTAGTCTCTGAATCGGCACAATTAAGTCAAAACTTAACGTCATCAAAGTCAGCTTTTAGAAATAAAAAACAGCTAGTTGCCGAAAACACGAAACAGGTAAAAAGAAAGATCAATTTGAATTGTTACAACGTAGTAATAATAATTTAAACCCAAAACTGTGTAATGATAACTCTGTAATAATAAGTAAAAAGGGAATCAGTGGCATGACTTACCAGGATGCCATTGCTGAAGCGCATGAGGACGGTGGAGACGAGGGCGTAGGCGGCGAGCTCGGTGGCGCCGATGTGTCCGATGAACGCCTGGCTGATGACGGTGACGCCGAAGGAGGAGAAGCGGGCGCAGATGGAAGGACCCGCCACCACCCACAGCTTCTTGTTCTCCTCCACCACTCGCCGCCTCACCGATCCAACCTCTTCTTCCTCCTCGTTGCTCGCCGGCTTAGGCTCCAGCAGAGGAACCGTCGGCCTCTCATCATCCTCCGTCGTCCTCTCCATTGCTACTCTGCTCTGATAGCTAGCTCTCCAGTGCACAACAATGGAGATCGATGGAGTTAATAGGAGCAGGAATATACTTTGAGTTGCAGATATTAGTAGCTGTCTGAATTGAAGAAGGCTGCAGGGAGGGAAAAGAAAGCATCCATCGATGATGCTCAGGTCTCCCCATCTACCGTTTAATGGCGGGGCCAGAGACGATCGAGCGAGGAAGTACATGATTGGCCCTGTGGTTGCTGCAGATGGTGGGTAGGTAGGGAGGGCAGTGTGGGAAGAAATTAATAAACAATTACACAAGCCCTGTTCTTTTCTTTAAAAAAAATTGGATAAAATTTTGGATACTAGTAACACGCTTTTCGTACGAAAACTTTCTATACAAAAGTTACTCTAAAATATCAAATTAATTATTTTTTTAATAATTAAAACTTAATTAATCATACATTAATACTATCTTATTTTACGTAAAATACTTAATTATCTCATCCAACGATGCCAACCAATGCGTCCCGGAAAAAGGAGATCACGGGAAGGAAAACGTTACATCATTGCATGGAGACACCATCGACATCGAGTCGCCGTCTCGTGTCGGCCATCGATGAACTTTTTTTTCGAACCTTTTTATTTTTTAAAATTTAAAAATGAACTCTTACAAAATTTAATTTTAAAACTAGACCTTTTAATGGTACTGGCTGGTCTGATGTGGCGAAATAATATTGTCAAGTCAAATGAGGATGAACATGATAGTTTATGATAGTTTAGTTTCGTTATGCCAGCCGGGGTGGCGTGGTTAAAAGTTTTAAATTTTAAAAATAAGTTTTGGGATGTTTATTTAAAATTTAAACACAAAAAAGGTTAATAATAAAAAAAATGGCCATCCTATTCATCAATTCATGCCCTGTGACCTTGTTCTCGTCAACCCATCGGCAGCACACCACCACCAGCTAACTCACGATTTAATTCAACATCATGGAATATAGTTCAATTGCATCAAATCATATCTTCTGCTATCTAGTAGCTGTGTGAATTGAAGAAGGGAAGGCTGCAAGGAAAGGAAAGCATGATGCTCGCGTTTTATATCCGCACGTTTTCTAAACTGCTAGTATGTATTCTTAAAAAAAAGTTATTTTAAAAATTATATTAATTTATTTTTTAAATTTAAAATAATTAATAATTAATTAATTATGTGTTTGTGACTTGTTTTGTTTTGCGCATATTTTCAGTCCTCTCTAATACTCTTCTCTCTAACACAACCTGCTGTGAGATTGCCCCTAAATTATATATGGTTCTGCAGATGGCGGGTAGGTAGGGATGACAGAGGGGGAAATTAGTTGTACTACCTTGTAAGTAACAGTGACCCCTGATTAGGATTCTCCGACAACGAGTGATCAAATTAACAGGAATTAACAGTTGGATCGTGTGGCAAGGAGGGCAAGCACGTGTTCTTTGCTCCAACAAAAAGTTGGACTCCAACCAAAAGTTGGATAAAGATTAAGATTTTTATGGCACGCTTTTCAAACTGCTAAACGGTGCGTTTTGTGTGAAAACTTTCTATATGAAAGTTGCTCTAAAATATCATATTAATCTATTTTTCAAGTTTTTAATAATTAAAACTCAATCAATTATGCGTTAATATCACCTCATTTTATGTAAAAAAAAACATAATTTTTATCTTCATCTTCACAAGAAAAGAACACCACCTAATGTGCTGTCAATGTTTTCTTATCCTACTAAAGCTTTCTATACGTAGTCCATTAATGGGATGTTTGCCCGGCCTTGCTGCATGCTGTGCTGCATCCCCTCCCCCACCCCTACCCCCACGCCCCCCCCCCCTCCGCCACCCGACTCCGGAGCAGTTTTGGTCCAACGTGGCACACACGTGGTAATCCAGTCAGCATAAAAAAATAAAAAATGGTAGGGCACTTATCAGTTCTGCATCTTTTCTAGGTCACCACATGTGGACCCCCGTTTTTATAACAGGAATCATTCGTGTAAACATTACCATTTCCCTGGATCAAGTAGTCTGGTACACACGAGTTCATAGCTGAAATACCAAAAGCACATACACGAGAGTCTAGTGCTAATTATTACATCATAAGCCCGCAGGCATTGTCTTAAATCATCGGACCGAGCGGTCCGGAATACATCCAAAAGCAGAAATAGATAAGGCAGCGGAATTCAGGCAGCGGCATGCCATTGCCACAGGCAACGACCGTACTAAGACCTACTGAGCGCCATCGTCTTCATCTCCCTCCTGGTAGTAGGCATAGGGATCCTCCGAAGCTTCATCTCCCGCTTCTGATTAATTTTATATTTGCAAGGGTGAGTACCAACCGTACTCAGCAAGTCACCACAGCAACAATGCATATGAAAGGGGTATTTCAATGGATGGCTATGGCTCTTTTGCGCTAAGCCAGTTATGTAATTCTTTTCACAAACCTAAGACCTAGCATTGACTGATCAAATTTTAGTACCAGTGTTTGTATTTAAATAACGACGGTTCTGTCCACCATCCATTGTGATCCCAAGGATAGCTTCCCGCCATTGAGTCGTCATGGTTTTCTGAGGACGTCCACCTTCCCTCCTCTCAGGAAGTGGCTCCATCAGCATAAAAATCATCATGCAATATCCCATCCCACACAGGTTAAGAATTTAGAGTCTAGCCAAGTGTAATACACGTCCCGGTGCACAATAACCGCGAGCACTGCTAATCGAATAGATTTGGTTTACTCACACTGCAGTGGATGTACACTTTACCCGCACTCCGCGACTGCCCAACACATGAGCCTCGTCCCAACACATGAGACGCGCCACGGCAAAGCCTTTTGATAACCTCGCATTGGCAGTACCCGCTCCATGAACTTAAATCCTCATGCACTCTAGGCGTCCATGTTTCTAGCAGTGAGAGGAGTTCTGGCGCTCCCAGGAAAGAGAAGTCTCACACACATATTAAATTATGGTTCAAGTTAACTTCTCTCTCTCACACACTCATGGCAGTCCTACCAATGGCGACACCGATGTAGGGCACGCCTCTCGGCCCTACCTCAACGGCTGTCCCACCGTAGCGCACCTGCCTCACTCAGGGGTGAACCATCTATGCAGTGATACTGCCTCCGCTCGGCTATCTACTCCAATAGGTCTATACTCATACGAGAAGTGCGGTTGTACGGGGGTCGTTTCATGCTTAACTTCATGGCTCGGTCCTTAATTGACCGGGGACGATACTAGCCTTTTCCAGATACCACCCAAATCCTCCGTCTGCCCCAGTCGAAAACAGTTATTTAGTTTATTTCTCCTTTCACAAATCATGTCCTCAATATCATGGCAATGTGGCGCTCATGTCTCCACATGCCGCATCTCAATTACCTTCCCAAAGGTAATTGCCCAAGCATATAGCATTTGACAAATATTAGTATGCTTGATTCTAGAATAGCATTTCTAAGCATTTGTCATAGTTGACTAGGGACTCATACGTAAACATGGTTATGAAGGAATAAGGGGTAAACAATAATCAAGGCATGGCATAATCGCAAGTAGGATGTTCATCTTTGCATGCAATTTTATTTGTAAACAAAAACAATTTCGCAATTGGGATCAATATGTTCAAGAATAGTGATGACTTGCCTTGCTCAAGGTCTTCCGGGTCTTGGCCTTCACCCGGATCCGCGGCTCCCTCGGTCTCTAAAATTATGTGCGAAAGAACAATTTGAATTCAATTAGAATTCAAATAAAATCCAAATAAATCCAAATGAAAGTCGAATGCGAAAGTCAATTCCTTTATTTTAACTTTATTATTCGCGAACTAAGGCAAACCCAATTTCGATTCAAACTATTTTGCGGGTATAAATATTTTGTTGTCATAAGTTTTTAATTTAATCTACCCGAGCATTATATCCATATAATAGGTTAGAGATTTCTATCGCGAGCTAAATATCGGACGAAATCCTAGAAATATTATATGATTTAATTTAGTCTATGACTAAATGATTAAATATAATACACGGCTAAAATCCCTAGTAATTAAATCCGAATTTCTACCGTGAATCGATTACTTATAGGGATTACCCAAAAATAATCTATAATAATCTATAAGAATTCATCTATTTGTTTAGTTATTAATTACATCTAAATTACTACCGCGAATTGATTCCTTATAGAAATTACCAAGAATAATCCATAATTTATATTAAATTTTGCAATTCTACGACTATAATTAATCTATAATTAAATTCTAATTATTTTAAATTTTCTAAACTTCCCTAATCTCCCTCTAATTTCCTATTTATTTCCTTTTCCTTTTTCTCCCTTTCCTTTTTTTTCTTTCCTTTCTTTTTCTTTTCTTTTTCTCTTTTTCTCTCTTTTCCTTTTCTTTTCTTTCTCTCCTCCCTCCCGGCTTCTTTCTCTCTTCCTCGGCTTCTCCCTTTCTCTCTCTCTCTCTCGGCTCCCTGCTACCCGGGGCGGCGACGGCGACCGAGCAAGGGGAGGAGGCGGCGGCTTACCGACGGCGGTGGCAGCGACGGCGGCGCGACGACGGCGCACGGTGCATGGCGCGGCGGCACGAAGGCGGCGGTGCGGCGGCACGACGGCGGCGCAAGGCGGCGACGCACGGCACGGCGGCTCCGGGGTGACGGCACGGCGGCTTCGAAGGTGGCGGCGTGGCGGCACGACAACGGCGGCGCGTGGAGAAGGGGAAGAGGGAGAGGAAGGGGGAGATGGAGTGGGGAAAATGGGGAGGGGTGGAGTTTTATAGGGGAGAGGAGGGGGAAAGAAAGAGAAGGGAAGGGGCGACGCGACGGCGGCGCGGCGGCGCGGGGCGCGAGGCGGCGATGGGTTGCGCGGCGACGGGACGTCGACGGCGGCGGCGACAGCGGCGGCGCGCGGCTCGGGGCGGGACGCGACGGGCGGCGACGCGACGGTAGCGCGGCGCAACGGCGACGGGGCGAGACGACGGGCGAGCGGCGATGGGACGGGCGGGCGGCTCGGGGCGCGAGGCAGCGCGGCACGGGGCGCGTCGCGGGGCGACGGGGCGGCGCGCGGCGCGGGGCGCAAGGCCGGCTAGGGCGGCGCAGCAGCGATGGCGACGGCGACAGGCGGCGATGGCGACGTCGGCGCAGCGGCAGGCGACGGCGCGACGGGACGGTGACGGCGATGGCGCGGCAGCGGCGGCGCAGGGCTCGGGGCATGGCCGGGCGCGTGGCAGAGAAGGGTCTAGGGCTAGGGACCGAAATCGAACACCTATGAGGCAATGAACAGTGACTTTTCCTATTTATCCCGATTTTAGTGTATTTTCCATATAAATTTGATTCCACAATTCCTAATTTTACATATGTGCATTTTACTCAATATTTGTGTTATCTTAACTAATGAATTCACCCTAGATTAATATTACTCATATTTTATTTTTATATAATTTATTTGAGTTTTAATTAGGGTTAATTCTTATTCCATCGTATTTAAATTTAATTGATCCAAATATGGTCGCGATAATATTTTATTTATTTCTATCCACACCTAATCTTTATTTTAAATTTATATTTATTTTACCAATTTGTTTTTAAGGTTTATTCCTAATTAACTATTCTTTACTCACGATTAATAATCTTCGAGATCAAATCCAGATAAAATAGGCGAATAAGATCGGCATGATGCAATTAATTTAAAAAGGTTTTTGAAAATCTGTATTTTTAGAGTTTTGATTTTGTCGGTCGAATTTTCAGGGTGTTACAGATAATATGGTCACCTGGTGGAGTTCATGGTTGGTGTCTTCAATGGGGATGTGGCAGCGAAGCAGGAATCCAAGCCCAGTTTCAGTAGGCCAACATGCAGCTGGAGCAAGACTGTAAGAGGCGGCATCCCGGTCGGGTGGCCTGAGATGGATCAGATGGCGTCGCATAGGCACTGTATTGCCGATGATGGCGCCGGCGGGCTAGGGTGCACGGTGGTGGCAACGAATTGCATTCAGCGGAGCGATGGTTGCTGGGAGAAGTCGGGGAGAGGAGAAGCGCTATTTCAGGGTGGTGCAGTGTGGGAGGTTGGTAACGATCGCTATTTTTGTTTTTAATCGGTGGTTACATGTTGCGGAGCAGGAGATTGCTAATTGTAGGGACGGATTTAACTCGCCACATAAGCCATTGGATGAAAATATCTAATGGTTAAAAGAGAATTATGTACAATTTAGTGGATAAAACTATTACATTTTATATCAGTATATCTCTACTATATTATACAAATTGAAGATGTTTCCGCTGGAATTTTGATACGTCATTCGTGTTGGTTTTTCAGTTTGTTGTACATCGTCTATACACAATTCGACGTAAGTATAGAATAACTATTATACACTCTCCTCCTATCTCAACCACTCCTCCTCCCAGCCCACCCCAACTGGCCCACACCATCCTATCAGCCCATCCTGCGTGCCTCCACTCAGAGCCGCAGGTGCCACTCCCCGTATCAGTGTCTTTTTTCTTTCCTTTTTTTCGTTTTCTTTTCTCTTGATCATCCTGATCCTCTCCCTATCCTTCCAATCTCCTCTCTTTTCTCTCCATGTTCTCTTCTTTCCTCTTAGTTATCTCTTTCAAATTTCTGTTATCATAAAAATTTTTGTTTTGATATTATCAATATTTAAGGTATATGTGGCAAGTTTGTAACTTTAGAAATGTTTTTCATCTATATTAAAAAAAACTTTCACTGATTGAATAATCAAAATTTCAATCTTTGGTCAATGAGGTATAGAGAAATACGCATGCGTCAACTTATGGAATAGCCACCCAACGATTTGTGAGGCTATGGAAATGTGTACAAAAGAGATTCTTTGTGTGATGCATGAAGCGAGCGCAACTAGGTTCAATGCTATGTATGATTCCTGATTTTGTTTTGTTTGTCTTATTTCGGTTTGTCGTTTAAATTAGTGGAGTTTTTATCAATCATGAAAATTATCTTCACTTGTTGCAGTATTTTTTGCTAGTATACATATAGATATAAAATTGATTCTTTGGTGCAAGGTTTTGTGCCAAGCATGAAACGCTATGATTCGCTTTGTCTCTTAACTCTGAACGCGCAATACATTTAGCTTGTAGTAATATATGCTTCTTTTATTTTACTTTCACACTATCTGAACTCTTAGAAAAAAATAATTATGATACGATTGTGTCAGGTCAAATACTCAAATGTGCACCAGATGTTCAGTCTTTTACATACAAGACATGCGTGCTCATGACACACGAACACAACCGATGATTTCTATGATAGTAATTATATATAGAAAGCTGCTATATATTCAAACGTACACAACTTGGAGTCTAGGACAAAGAGCATGGCCACCTCGATCTATTGATAGCTCGATCCGTTATTAACATACTACTTATATATCATGATACTCAGTTATACTGTAATAACCAGCACACAAACATCGATCATACAAAAAACGATATCCTAACTTCCAAAGTAGCTAGTACATCGATCTCAATATCATTTGTATATTTCTCGAAGCCGTTTTTTGGGTGACACAGCTTCAATAGCTGTACCCAATGGCCAAGCCGCGTCAATGTAGTACTCCCCATGCTTCACCTTGTCTACCAGCGTTATCTCCTTACTTGGATGTAGACCTGACATCCAATTATATATATATAATTATATATATATATATATATATATATATATATATATATATATATATATATATATTAGTAAACTGCATGTTAGATAAATTGTTCAACAATTTGCACACCTATATATGAGTTCTTTTTCTTTAGAGTTAATTTCTTATACATGGATATATATTGTATCTCCATTATTAGAAGCTAGTGTACGTACCGAAGCCGTCAACGAGCAAGGAGTATTCGTAGATAAGATCCATGCATAAGTAGGCATGATCACGAACGTTGGGGTATTCTACTTTTGCTTCTTTGACACTCAGTTTACAAGCCTTTTCTGCAACAGCCTTAAACGTTGCAGGGGTCGACTTTGCACTGGGTGCATCGCTGTCGATGAACCCAACCTTTATCCCGGTCCGATCAAAATGTATGCATTGGAGATAAAATTATCAAGTAAAAATATTAATTTATATATGTAACATAATTATACAAATAATTAAATGCACATATTTAGGGGTATATATTTACATAACTAGTCAGCTAGTAGCCAGTCTGAAGCATGCCTGAGAAGTTAAATAATTTAGCTGGCTAATTAATTAAGTAATCACGACGTACATGGGAAGCTATGTAGTAGAAGGCGGACGCAACGTAGAGGTCATCCTGCCCTGCTCCGCCACCACCGTTCCAGACGCCGTTGAAGCTGCAGTTCTTGGTTTCGCAGGGCGCATTCACCTTCAGTAACTTCACTACTTCTTCTCTGCACTTGTGGTAGTCTGCACCTTGTGGTGCGGTCGTTGCATCGTACTGTTTGTCGTTGTAGGTGTAGTTACCTTGTTTTTGCCAAATCAACAAAACAAATTAAATCTCACTTGGTTCATTAAGCACTAAACGTTAATTGATTATATGAATCTTAAAGGATTAAAGGGTCGATGCGTATAGTAAACAGAACAAGTAATAAGGTAGTATCTAGTTACCACTGAATCCGCGCAGCATGCAGTTGCTAAATGGTCCATCCTTTCTCTCCAGGATCTGCACGCGAGAAGCAAAACCGCCATAGTGCAAATAGCTGCAAATTGTTGATTGATCTTAGTAAACTACGGTTCAAAAGACTATATATGCATTATTTTCCATATTTTCTACAGTAAGTTCAGATATTAACAGGCTACAGCCTACAGGCTTCAGTAGTTCAGTTTATTTAGTATTCACTAGTACAATGTGTGCAACAAATGAATTAATGTTGCACTTTCTAAGTAGTATATTATTCACCAGCTTGCAGTGGATCAAGATATAAAATTAAACAAAGATCAAATTATACTTAACAAGAGCATGAACTTATTAATTGACCTGTGCACATAAATGTTATAATCTTTTCCCTTGAGATACTCCTTCACAACATAGGGATCTTTTCCTTCGGGCACCTTTGGAGCGTTAGCAGCGGTGTTTGATAACATGGCGTATGCCATTTGTACGGATCCACCTCCAAGATCAACCACCCCTACGGTTTTAAAGTAGTCTCCTCCCAATTTATCCAGGAGATAATTCAGAGCAACCCACATGTATGATCCTTCCTGGGATCCCTCAAGAACGTTGATCCAGTTCGGGTTACACTGATATTTGCTCTTGGTGTGGACTACATCCCTAACATGTATTAAGACCCAGAGTACTAATTAAAGAGATTATTAAGAATAAAAATTTATTAAGAATCAAAGCAAGAAATGGTTTTGAGTTAAAAAAATTGTATGATATGATGTATATCATTGTGGAATTGCACGTACCGCTTCAAGAATTTGGTTCGCCTTTTCATCTCCAATAAGTCTGAGTCCGGCAGTTGCCTAGTACATGTTTGATTGAATTAACAAAGAACAAAATTTAGAGAGTACAAAAGGTCAGGCCATTTTGTTTCAGGCCATTTTGTTTCAGAGGAAACATATCATCATTAACATTTTGTCAGTAGTTTTAAGAAACTATTTCGTCAGATAAACCATCATACGGAAACATCCGTACGTATTAGTAATTTTAAATTTAAGTTCCCGATGCAGGTTTCGTTTAATAATTAGATAAAGAGCAAATCAATTTAGTTGTGTACGTACCCCAAGTTTAAGGGGAGTTTTGTTCATAAGTCTGGTAGGAACAACGGTGTTGGCCTTGTCAAGCAGAGGCAATATGGAGTTTGCGGCATCCTGAGGACGTCCAGCGTAGGAGCTCAGCCCAGGATCCACCTACAACAACACACAAATTAATTAGTCAGTCAGTAGTAGGATTAAAATAGCTCAATTAAGTAGGTAGTAACGAATCATCATATTAATAAGTACTTCCTCCGTTTCATATTATAAAACTTTCTAGCATTGCCCATATTCATATATATGTTAATGAATCTAGACTTATATGTGTGCCTAGATTCATTAGCATATATATAAATGTAGATAATGCTAGAAAGTCTTATAACCTGAAACGGAGGTAGTAGGTTAGATTAATGTGGTTACCTTAGCGAAGAGCTCGATGTCGTCGCCGACCTTGAGGAGGTCCAGCTTGTTGTCGAACCTGAAGACGTGCACCCGTGTGCCGGTGCTGCCGGCGTCCAATATCACGGCGTACCTCCCCGGCCCCGCTGCCTGCCCTTCCACGACGCCGCCTTTCTGGCCGAGCACCGCCGTGTCGTCAGCAACGGCCGGCGGCGACAAAGCCAGCAGGAGAAGCATGGCCACGACAAGGTGATCAGCCGCCATTGCTAACTAGACAAGGTGAGGCGCAGGTGCTCATCAACAGAATGCAAGGGGCAGGTTTTAAAGGGAGAGGGGGAATTAATGGATTACTAACGTGGAGTTTACTCTGCATAATTCAGTCCCTAATCACAGTGTCCACCCATTAGCATAGTACAATAATCAATCAACTTTTACACGGGACCATGCATGCTGCAAAGTTTCACTGTGAATCCACATGTGTAATCCTAGTGCGCTAGCTTTATTGCTTTTGATTGATTAGACGAACTGTTCTTTGGTGCCCAGCGTGAAACACGATGATTCTATCTGTCTCCAACTCTCCTTACATAACATGTTTAAATCATAAATATTTTCTTGGAAAGAAAATCAGTTGATTGTAAAAGAAAGAAAATCAGTTGATTGTAAAATATAGGATTCCATTTCTGTCACCGGCCGTCAGATTAGACCCCTAACATCTTAGCTTCCTCTCATATGGTTGGGTCCGTCCGTCCATGACATCAAGGGGGCCCTTTCGATGCAGGCGCTGCACTTGTGGGATCGGCTTGAGGCAATTCAGCTACAGCCGGATTCCCGGGACAGCTTTGTGTGGAAGCTTTCGGCCGACGGAAACTACTCCTCCTCCTCAGCTTACTCCATGTTTTTCATGGGGAAAACAAAGGCGGCATGGGTGGAGTTAGTCTGGGGGGCTAAGGTCTCTCCTCGCTGTAAAATGTTCATGTACCTGGCGACTCGGGGCAGCTGCTTGACCTCCGACAACTTGGACAAACGCAGGTGGCCTTCCTGCCCTCACTGGTGGAGAAACCCTTATTAGTCTCGGTTTTCAAATTGGGACTACCAATCCGGAACTAAAGATCGCTATCTTTAGTCCCGGATGAAATAACCGGGACTAAAGATCGAGCTGCCTTTTTTTTTATCATTTGCATGGCCCTGTTGCTGCATGCATATATAAACCATATATATATATATATATATATATATTAAAGCACTTAACATTTTATATGCATATATATGACCAAAATATATATTTACTTCTCTAACTAATCAGACAAACCAACAAAAAGTTAACTATCCTAACTCTCTTCCTTTCAAATATATTCCATTATATTTGAACGCATGTATTGGCGCTCAAATCTTTTACATGTTCGCTTGTATCAAATATCAATCATAAAGGGTTAGAAATAACTAGTTGTTGTTAGTGCTATCTATATTCAAATTTTAATTGTTTGTCAAATATGTTGATTATTTTCCAAATTATAGCAACATAGATTAAAAGAAGAGTCTATCCACATTAGTATTTCTTGAATTGTTACGACTTGTACCTAACAGTCCATATCAGTTACAATGTGCTAATTATAAATTTTCAAGTTTGGAACTAAATTAATACGATATAAAATTGAGGGTCCAGAACACGTTCAACTTCGTATTATTAATTTTGAATTTCCAATTTATGTGAAAACTATAACTAAAAACATCCATGGTATTTTCAATGACATGTTTTATTTAATATAAATTCTTATTAAGATCTTCAATCATGATAATATGACCCATCTAATTATTAATGGCAAAATCTTTCTAGCATACAGGATCATATATATGAGGAGACAAAGATAAATGCATGTTATATCAGCATGAGTTTGTCTATGATGCATGTTCATCCATTTTAGCTTTTATGAGTGCTCCAAGAATATTAGGTCTTTTGACCACTCCAACTAAAAGGAAGCCATAGGCAGGACAACGGCACTCCAATGTAATAGATGTAGACATATAGTGATGACTATATTATTCTGCAAAGGTTTTCACTCTTTCATCAAATTGGATGGATATGAAGAATTAAGAAAAGGAAAAAGTACAAATTACCCCCCTGAACTATCGTGGTCGATCGAATTACTGCCATAAACTCAAATACCAGATATTTTACACCCTCAATTATTCATACCGGACGAATTTACCCCCTAACACTGTTTTAAGCTGTTTTGACCAGGAGTTTGCACATGTGGCGTCAACGTGTCAATCCAGTCCGCAAAAATAATAACAAAAAAAATTGTAGGGTCCACCTGTCATCTATTTCTTCTCTCCCTCAATCTCTTCTCTCCCTGTCTGTTTCCCACTCTATTCAGCTCGGATGGGCGGTGGCTGGACGGAGGAAGCGGGAGAGGTGGGGCTCAAGATGGGGGCGGTGGCCAGTGGCGGAGGCAAAGAGGCGGCACTCGGGATCGGGGCGGCGGCCGGTGGCGGAGGCAGAGCTCGGGATAGGGGTGGCAGCTAGTGGTAGAGGCGGGCGGAGGCAGCTAGAGGTGGGACTCGAGATGGGGGTGGAGGCGGTAGGAGGTGGGATGGGGCGGCGGTGGGGCTCGTCTCCCTCTCTTTCCTCTCGGTTCGACCCCCTCTCTTCGGCGGTTGGGAATAGGGGCGACGGCCGGTGGTGGAGGTGGGTCTCGGGATGAGAGCGGCGGCTGGGGTGAGGCTAGGAACGGGGTGGCTTCGAGCTCACTATGGAGGCGGCGAGGTCAACGGCGAGCTCCATGACCTAAGCTCTGCCGCCCCTATTGTCCCCGCCTTCCCGAGCCGAGCAACGCGAGGCGCGAGTAAGAAGAGGAGCGAGAGGGAGATTGAAGAAGAAGAGGTGCAAGGACCTCCGCCGCCGGCTGCCCGAGCGAGCTCCGTCCACCTCCGTCTGAGCTTCTCGCGAAAGGCCAAAGGGGAGAAGAAGGCATCAGCGACCGGATTTGAGGGAAGCGGCTCGCTCCGCCTCCGCCTCCATCACCGGCCACCCGAGCTCCTCTCCCCTGCTCTCTCATCCTTCTCTCCTCGAGGTATGAAGACACCCTCCCATCATCGACAACAGTGGAGCAGCGCCCTCCCAGCAACTCCGCCGCCTCCAGCGCCATTCTCGGTGCACTCCTCCGCCAACCGCAGACGCCGCCGCCAGTCGGCCGCCCGAGCTCTTTCCTCCTCCGCCTCCACCGCCGGCCACCCGAGCTCTCTCCCGTCTCCACCGCCAGCTGCCCAAGCAAGCTCTACCTTTGCTGTCGGCCGCTCAAGCGAGAGAGAGAGAGAGAGAGAGAGAGAGCAGGGGGATTGGGGAGGGATTTGGTTGAGGGAAAGGGATGGCAGGTGGGTCTAGGGAGTTTTTTTATCTTCTTTGCTGACTGGATTGCCACGTTGGCGCCACGTGTGCAAGCTCAAGTTAAAAACCGCTTAAAACAGTGCTCAGGGGGGTTATTTGTTCGGTTTGCATAGTTAGGGGTGAAGGATGTCTGGTTTTATAGTTCAGGGGGGTAATTCGATCGACCACGATAGTTCGGGGGGGGGGGTAATTCGTACTTTTTCCTTAATGTGTTCACGTGTTTTTTCCTTGACGACAAGATCTACTCATTTAGAAGCCAACAACTACATCGACTCTGGATTTTTACTTTGAATTTCATTGTTTGTTTACTTTCTACGTTGTCTAAACCTAACACGGATCAGTTCATTATAACATATGCTTGCATAACATTAGATAAGTCAGATGGACCATTGGATCTTTTCATCTTAACCTTGTTGTTCGCTTGCAATGATCAGTCAGGTTTCCTACAATGTTAAAACAAAATAGTTCAACACTTGTTCTTGCTATGTTCAAAATTATGAGGTAGAGGCTACTGATCACAGATATAAACATTACTTTGCGTCAATTTCAGTCTATTACTCAAGATGCATAAGCATGTCTAAACAAACTCTCTTTGTACCATAATTTTCAAAATCAACTGGAACAAAAAGCGAGAGGTGAGAACATGCATAGCTTAGGAGGAGAGGGGGTGGTAATGGTTGAAGATCTCATCCATGCACGTCCATCCATTTTAGCTTTGGTGGCCGCTCCAAGAAACTTCGGGCAGCATGCAACACACCATGCTTACTATCTCTATGCAATAGGTGTAGGTAGTAGTCAACACAACTTAATTTGGCAGATACTATATCTGCGATACGGTTCATCTACCTTGTTCTCACCTGAATATGATTGATGACATATTTTGTTTTTTTTGCCAAGCTTTTGAAAGTCTAGTGACACACTACACGCGTGACTTGGTCGATACTAATAATAACTGAGGTACGCAATCATGCATATTTATTATATATATATATTTCTTGGTTTGGAACTAAAAACAAGTGGAGTACTAGAGACAAGCCTTTAGTGGCCTCATCATCAATCGTTTAGTGATTGAAGTGGTCTCTTTATCACTGTACATAATGGCAGCAAGCATCAAGCATATATATACTCTCGTAACCATGGTGCCCATGGAAGAAAATGGCTTAAAGAAAGAATGGAAGAAAAATGGCTCCTAGATGGCTAGCCATTTCAAGCGAACAATTGAACATACACAAAGCCAACACAACAAAGTTTTTAAATTTCAAGTTTTGTATGCATGACTTCCATATTGTGTTGGACTTATGAGTGATCAGTGCAACCTGCTCGTGTGGAAGCATCTTTATTGAATGTTGATCCTTACTGAAGTTTAGGTTCAAATTAGAACGAAAAACACTTACGAGTTGTGTATTCTTAGGTTCATTATGGGACTCTATGCAGATAAGTATTTAGGGAGTAGACACATACTCACATCACAAAATAGTAAGCACGTTACTAGATGCATACACACCATCATACTCTAGTTATGTGAAGCAAGCAATCAAACGTTCATAAACCAAAGTAAGCAAGGCTCGAATTTAGATGTCATATGTGCCATTGTTGTATTCTTTTCTTAAGGGTTCAAATTTGGAAACACGTACGTTCAATGCATATGCGTTGTTTCGATTTTAGTTCAAATTGCAGGGGAACAAAATGTGTGCCAACTGTCTTCTTGGTTGATTATGTTATGCCACTCTTTTCTTGGTTGTGCATGAACAACTAAGCAATTACTTAAATCAAACTATATGTGTCATGCTTTTGTTGTTATGTAATTAATGAGCAAATATATTATTTTAATTATTCAATTCCAAGCATCAAACCTATAAATGTCCATTCTTAATTCAAAATCCAGACTCATAAATAATGATGGAAGACACTATTACTTTAACGAGTAGAATGCACTGCTCTATGTAGAAACCTTAGGTGTAATCAATAAATCACTAAACAATACTAACACATTGTTTTTTTTACACACAACTAAACTCCCAATTCATGTTGAATAGTCCACTAACTTTGTGTAGAAAAGTCTAAAAATATAGGGAAATAACAAAAGTCAAATCCCACATGAAAGTAACGCACAGAGCAATAAAACTAAAACTTGGGTCAAGCATTGAAGAAGGAGCCAAAAAAAGGGGGAAACCGCCCACTTTCCCTCTTCCCAAAGCCAAGCGAACCATGCTATTTAATCCACTACACTATTTGTGAGCCTTTTACAACTGTGCTCCCACTCCGCTCCACTCCACTAGTTTTTTCCATTCCCTGTGTCCCCTTTTCAGATCTCCCTTTCCCTCTCCAAGAAAAGAAACCATCAAAGAATACGCAACGAGATAGGGGGGAGTGGCTACTATCAATCTCCATGGGCGCCTATGAGGCCACCAAGGTGGTTTTTGCCCGGTTGCAAGCGCTTGAGCCCAATCTTGCTCCAAACATCATTGGCATGCTCCTCACCAAGGATAAAAATGAGATGGACATGATTCATCTCGCATGTGGCCCTGACAACCTCCTCCAATCTATCATTGCCAAGGTGCGCACCGACCTCACCAACAAGCCTTCCCCTCCTATGGCCTCCTGGGGCTTCCCGTCCGATATAGGTGAGGAGGCATCTTTCTCCATTGACAAGGTGGGGTGTGATGGAGGTGAAGAGTTCTCCTCTAAGGAGTATGATTGGAAGTTACCAATCGGTGGCAATCACCATCGGAGCTTTTTGTCAAGCACCGTCAACACCCCTGGGTGGAAGCCATGTCTATACTACCAAAGGTTCCATCTTCAACCCTATAATATCACATTTCTTAGATCCACACACTAATCTCTATTGTACCAGCGGAATGACCACCCATCTTGGTAGCGACGACATGCAAGAGTACTCTTCTCGACCACCTCAGATAGACCAAAGTGACCTAACCAACAACTGCAGTGCACGACAGATCTACTTGACCTTCCCGCCTGATTCCATTTTCAGCAAAGAGGATGTCTGCAACTACTTTAGGTATCACATGTTCCACCATAGTGCCCCTATTGATGTGTCTTGTTTCAATATTGGAGCATTTCATAATTTAATGAATGCAATCTGTTTTGGCTTGTTTGTGTTGTGTGGGGACAACCAGCATGTATGGGATGGTGCAAGATGTGCGTATCCCATACCAGGAGAAGCGCATGTTTGGTTTTGTCACCTTCGCCTACCAAAAGACAGTGAAGCTAATTCTTGCCAAGGGCAACCCACATTACATCTGTGATGCACGTGTTCTTGTCAAGCCATACAAGGAGAAGGACAAGGTCCCCAACAAGTTCAGGCATGTTAATCATTGCCTAATTCCACTTTGTATTTTTGCACATATATTACCTTTTGTGAGTACTTCTATTGTTTTTCTTAAAAATTGCATAAAGTCTATTGATTTTATTAAAATTGCAGAAAGTTTCAGCAAAGTGACTCTCCTAGCTACATGAATCACAATAGATTGCTTTATTCTAGGGTGCCCTTTGACCTGCGACGACACCAAATAGGTGAGCAGTGATATCTATGTGGTGCTTGTGTTTTGATCTCTTTTTTTTAACAATTTACAAGGAGTGTTACATTGTGTTAGGGCCGAGAATTTTGTATAGGGACATGGCTAGTCATGAGGCATCTTTTAGGATGAAGCAAGATGAACAACAACATGCGACCGAGCTGCAACGTCGTTGCTTAATGAGGCTTCCGCTTCTCAATCTTCAGGATTGGGGCCATCATCTCAGCTCTCCCATGGGTTCACATGTGCTTCTAGGACAAGTTGATAACAAATATAATATTAATGAGAATGACAATCCCATTCATTTGGAGGATGTCACATTTTGAGGTCTAGTTCTTGGTCGTTGTAATGTCTTGTCTATTAATTATGTTTTTTCGGAAAGTTTATTAATTATGTTGTACTAAGGTTGTGACTTCTTGTTTTATTTATAGACAATAAGCTGAAGAATGAGTTTGCTATGAGGGAAATTGCCTCTACTGCAATCTCCACAGAAGCCAAGCGCACGGTCATCTCTACGGAAGAGGGGAAGAGAGAATATGGTCCCAAGGCAGCAACACCTAATGATGCTTGTGGATTCCTGGAAAGGTAAGATGATGATAGAAAAAGGTTTGCTAGATGAACACTAAAACGTAGGATATTTATTTTGGAAAAAGGACAGAATATACCATTAAACTTGTTACCTCTTTTATTTGCTATATTTTTCCTTTTTTTTCACATGTGTGTTATATAATTCTCTCTGACTTAAACAATTCTTGCTTTAGAAGCAAATACAAAAGAAGATAACGAGTAGACAAGTAATAATGTTGATCAAATGTTTTTCTTGATTAGAAGGAACCAATGGGAAAAGAAATGCAAAGGCAAGGATAGGATAAAGCAGTTAAGAAACTAATTAGCACAATAAATGCCTATTATTAAGTAGTTTTTGTGCAAGTCATGCTAGTTGCCGAAGGACTTTCTGGTATTGATATGTTTGTTGATGTTTGTTTTTCTGGTATTGACATGTTTGTTGATGTTTGTTTTGTAGTGGAATGGAGTACAATTTGCCTCATAGCCCCTTCTCATCTCCTACCAAGGCTTCCAATGTTGCAGCAACAGCTCACACTAGTAACATCAGCAGCAGTAGTAGCCCTCATAAGGTGGCCTCATCTCTATTCCTCCCAACATGCACCCTTGAGCTGCCCCCTACAACTCATGCTTCCTTCAAGCGCCAAGGTAAAATCCCAAACCAAATCTCTTCCCTAAATCACTGTACATTTGCAATTCCATGTTGCATTTGCAATTACTGCAGTTATATAAGATAGACTATTTTGTTGTATGTCTTCAGATTCTCTCCTTGCTGAGGAGTAGTTGGTTTATAAGACTACACATAGTAAAGGAGAGGGGGCTTCATCTTTGCTGAGTAAGTATCAGTAATTCCAACCTTTTTGGAGTGAAACAGGAATCAACTAGTCAATATTATGTACTATATATAATCTGCCTCCTGTCCAAGTCTTGATGATCGTGTTATTGGTTTGTTGGTGTTATGTGCAGGGAAAGCATTAACAGATCATACATAACGAGAAGAATGCCGACAAAGAAAGGAAAAAAATTTAGCTTGTTTTAGCTATAGTTCTTGGGTATATGGTATTACTATAGTACCAGTCTTTCAGCTCGGTGTCAAGAACAAAGTATCAACTTGTATGCTCTTTTAAAAGTATGAGACAATATAATAAAAATATATCGTAGCTCATGTAGTAATAACAAATACTAGCAGTGTGAAGTGGCACTGCTACATATACAAACATTGAAGAGAGCAGTATATCAGCATCTGCTACTAACCAACTGTTTCTATTTAGATAAAAATGCTTCACGAATTGCTTGATACCTGGGTCGTAGCTTGTCCAGAGGTGGCAGATGTTCCTTCACGAGTGGCAAGCCCAGAAAACCCTCCATCCATGCAGACAGCCAAGGGAACTTGTCGCTGGTGATCAGCCTGACACCGGTGATGTCCTCATATATCGGAATCACATACGACAGAGAGCCCAGAGACAAGTCGACGAACCCGATCCTCTCTCCACCAAAGAATTTATTCTCATGGAGCACCTTTTCCAGAACCAGCAGCTGCTCCATGGCAACTTCCTATGCGTCCTCCTGCTCCTTGCCTTGTGTGGTGAACCACTTCCAAATCGGAGGTGACAGCTGCAATTGTGGATCAATGATTACTTGAAAGTTTAGACTTGCGAAAATAAACAAAAAAAATCGCTGACCTTGTCCAGCCCAAATTTGGACCAGAAACGTGCCATGGCACGTTCATAGTGATCTTCAGGCAAGATACGGTGGCCGGAGTCAGTGGTGGATCCACAAAATCGATTCGTTGGTGTCATAACGTGTCTATCGGTGTCATATTATGCTAATTATGCTTAGATTATGATGTTATAACATATGGATAAGCAGTTTTGCTATAGGTTTTGCCAAAAGTCATCGGTGTCGCCTGACACTGACCTGAGTACTGTAGATCCGCCCCTGGCCGGAGTCCTTCCAAACGTCATCGATGAACTCGATTATGACGTCTGATGGTTTGCCTTGATAGATCAGCACAGGGACCTTCTGATGCACGGGGTTGCACTCCAGAAGCAGGTTGCCCTTATTCCTCAGATCTTCTTCGATGTCATACTCCACGTGTTTGATCCTTAGTGCCCATATCACTTTGACAACGTAGGGGCTCGACCATATGCCCAACAGCTTCATCTTCTCAGCTCCCTCTTCTAGTTCTTGGTGATCCATGGTTAAGATTGCAGAGCAATGCTGTGGAGTGAGGGTTTCAGTTTGATTAATCTGCTACATAGTGCTAATGGTTTTCTTGTGAAGGAGATTAGTTTCAAAGTGTAGCTAACTAGCTATGAGTTAGCTTTGGTAGCTTGATTTTGAAGTACTCTGTCTGCACTCTGCAGTGGCTTCTTGCTTTGACTTTTAAGTAATATGTCTGCATCATGTTAAGTTCCACTCTATCCAAACCTGAATAAGGCAATAGGTGTAAATTCCATCATTTTTATTACAGTATTGAGATATTTGTTTAAAGATGTACAATTAATAAACTTCAATTGGATGCGTTGAACACTTCATAATCTATCTGCTCATAATTCGTAATAGTAACTGCCACTTAAAATGAGCAAAGAGCAAACAAAGGAGTCAGACATGAGCACAACTATCTTGCGCATTACGATTCAGATTAAGAGCAAAAAAGTTAAAAGAAATAACAAGTTCAGGATATCAGTTCCAGGAGATTATATATATCAAAACCATACTAATTTTCTAAGGTTTATCTAAAGGAAGAAAAATAAAATGGAGTCACTGGGAATCAGTGATGCATCTCATTTGCATTTTGCAATTTGTAACTTTTCCTCTTTCAATCTTGATAACATTTGGTCGACCTCCTTCAGCCAACCCGGCAAAAAATAAACGTCAATTTACCTACAGTTGCAAATGTGGGTTGCAGCATATCTGCTTGATATAGATTCTCAATAGCTACTCAAGGAAAAGACAAAGATTCAGAAATCATGAAATATATATGTTTGATGGCAAAACTCCATCTTTCAGAAAGTACTGCCAACTGAAACTTCTAACAATCCATCAAGTGGTCAAAGATACACTTCACTAAATCAACTTTAGTTCTTATAAAGGGGGCACTCTAGGGCTTAAAGTGGTTAAGTGGGTGTGCCCTATAACAAAATTCATCAAATTAACACTTGTAATTTATAATCTGCCACCGAATTATTGTCATACTTGTAAAAAAAAAAGAAGCTAAAAACAAGTAATATGAAGAAGATTTCCTGAAGACCAGACAGTAAGAAGAAAGCGAAATGTCCAAATGTTTTGTTTGGTGAGCTATTCTCCTCGTATAATAATATCACAAATTCAGCTATCTAGTTCAAAACTTGAGACTGGCAACCTCTTCAGCTATCTCCTGAAGTTCCAATCCTAAACCCTTCCTGTACATACCACAGATATTTCAGCTATCATTTATCATCTCAAAAAAATGGATTTATGGAGCAAAAAGCTTCAATCAAATGCTAAATTCCTATGTGCATAAGATAAAAATGTGTAGTTACACTGCACCGACTCGACTCCAGAGGACAAGTGATTAGTACCCAAGTATTTTGAATTTCTGATACATGTAGAATGAAGTGCAGAATAACTGCAAATATGTTTGTTTGGTTTTTTCTATTACCTCGAGGTGGAAGATGTGTGTCAGCCGGCGGCCGTGCCGACAGCACCGCCGGTCCACGCCGAGGATGTCTGGATGTGGGCTTTCTTTACATGGGCTTTGTGATGGGCCTGGCCCATCACCGTCAGCTTCTCCATCCGTGCGGCCTCTCTTCCCTTCCCTTCTCCACACGAATCGGACTTCGGGGGCTCTTCCGCCGCCGCCGCCCCGCCCTCGCCGCCGGCGGCCCGGACGATGTTGGGCCACCTCCGGCGATCCTCCCACCGAGTACTCATTGCCAACCTCGCCGTCTACTCGTAAGAGCGATTCCTTTTCGCTGTTCCTGTGCTAAAGCCCTTTCTCTTTTTATTCCGCCCCTCTTTCTTTCTCCAAATCTACTAGTTGCCGGACTACTGCTTGCCTGCTTGTGTTCTTGCTCCATTTACCAACCCAGATAATGTCATGATGCAGCCTTGTTTTGACTGTAGGCACGCCCCAAGTCTGCTCAACATTCTATTATTTGTTTTACTGGGCACTAGTTGAACTAGTGAAAAACATAGGGGTTTTTATTGTCTTTCCTCTAATTCTCCAAGCAGTGTGAACACTTTAAGTAACTAACCCCTACCCTTTGGAGGTCTTCAAGATTCTCACATCGACAGATTAATGTAACAAGCACTTTGCTAACGGTAGTTTAGCAGTGTCTGAGAGATTAGTCTAACATGTTTAAGTTGTTATTGATCCAACATGCATTCTTAAACTGGAGAATAAATCAGGAGTTTTTAGCCTTTCTGTCACTGTAATTTCTTGAAGAGATTGCTTCTTGCTACCTTTGAGCCATTGGCTAATTCTATTACTAATCTCACTGCTCTCTACATTGTGCAGGATACAGAGTTCACAAATTGAGGTACTATTCTCCTTTGTCCTTTCCTTCGGACAACATTTTACACCCATTTTACAAAGTCATCCTTCCATTTATACACCTGTTTTTAGTTCATAGCAGGCTGGTGTAGCAACCATACCACCAGAAATTTCTCTGCAGATACAAGTAATAGAGTTTCAAATGATCGAGGGCATCAATCAAGGGAGTTGAAACCAAGTCTTGTGAAGGTATGTACACAAAGTTAAAACTGTATACTTATCTTTGTGTGTCTTTCATCCACAAGTTTTTAACTTTATGGGTATTTCTTAGTTGCTTAGTGTGCCAAATTGGTCCAGTTACATATTCCTGTCATCCTTATGGAGTTTTGGGATAATTTTCTATTTCTTCACAGTTAATCTACATCCCATGTTACCATGGCACATTCCCTTGTTTATGTTCCAGGTTACTCCCCTAAGGCTTAACATTCAACCCGTTTCATTTTTCTAATCCAACAGTTTCACTAAGATTTCTGTCATTACGATGGTTTTGTTTTTGTCTATATTATGACTCGTCTTTTGAGACTGCTAAATGGTTGTTTTTAGACAATAGGCATAGACTGCTGGATGTTTCACAGTCCTAGAGTTCTAAAAGATCGATGATTGATTATTGAAGAAATTGTCTTTGTATTGCAGGATGATGTTGCAATCATCGAACGCATACAAAACAGTACAAAGGAATTGAGACAAGGCCCAGTTGGGAAAAATCTGTCATCGGCGGAGAAAAGGAAATTTCTTGTCAACACTGTACGTGCAGCTAGTTTTCCATATTGTCTGGTTTATTGTTTGACTGCATCAAGTCTCCACGATAATTAGGTTTATAATTGCTTCCTGGTACACATCAAATCTATTTTATTTTTATGAGTACATAAATCTACTAACTACTGGAACTTCCAAATTGTAGCTGCTTGACCTGGAAGATTCAAAAGAAGGTGTTTACAGCACTCTGGATGCTTGGGTTGCCTTTGAGCAGGATTTTCCTGTGGCCTCAATAAAGCAAGCACTTGTAGCTCTTGAAAAGGAGGAACAGTGGCATAGAATCGTCCAGGTTTCGGACATTATGATTTGCTTGATTTTAATTTAACTTTGTGGATCTAATTTGAAAAGGAGGCTTCGTTTGTGCACCCAGAATTAAATAAATGGCTAACTGCATGGTTAGGTGATAAAATGGATGTCGAGCAAAGGACAAGGGAAGACTATCAGAACATATGAGCAATTAGTGTGTGCACTTGAGAAGGATAATAGAGCGGATGAAGCTTGCAGAATCTGGGAGTTTAAGATAGCCCATGATCTACAATCAGTTCCATGGCGGTTTTGCCGTCTTATGTTGGGTATTTACTACAGAAATAATAAGCTAGATAGACTTGTCAAGGTATGGATCTCAAGCCCTTGTCCATCAAGTAATTTTTTATTGTTGTATTTTAAGTTGATGATCCTCTGTAGAAGTTTGATGGGTCTTGAGTGATCAATGATGCCGCTTAGTCTCTTACAGATTGCATAGTATGATAAAACCTACTTACGTGGATTACATTACATTTCCCTGTTTTTGGTGATGATATTAGCTCTTCAAGAATCTTGAAGCATGTGGCCGTAAACCTCCAAGCAAAGATATCGTACGGAAAGTTGAAGATGCATATGAAATGCTTGGTTTAGTGGAGGAGAAAAAGGAATTGCTTGAGAAATACAAGGATTTGTTTGACAAGCCATCGAGTAATGACAAAAAGAAAGGCCGGCAGTTCAAAAAGGTTGAGAAGAACATCAAGCCGGCTTAGACATGTGATGGGACACGCCTGCACCTCTAAGCTTAGAGCATAGAACGGAAACATCTGAATAGAAATCTGCCAGTGAAGTTGTTACTCTTTCCTTTGGGATGAGAATCTGATTATCAACAGTTAAGATTAGAAGTATGCATGGTAGTGCAGTTAACATTGTTGTGAGTCATTTTCCTTCGTCCAGATTTGTTGCTGACAGTGCATCCATATATAATGGGATGAGAACCTAATCTAATGCAGCAAGTAATAGTATTTGCCGTATGCCCTCTGATTGTGAATACACCTTGTGTTTGTTAACTGATGCCTCATGCTCAATCTCTGGCCGCGATCCTTCATCAGCACTTAGAAAAAAGAAGGCAAAATTTGCTACAGGACATGCAAAAAACGTGTAATTAGCTAGGAGACACCACAAAAACGTGCCATGGCTGATGGATACTAAAAAAATCGTGTAATTGACTGTAGGATACTGGTCATATTATTTTATTATTTCCAGATCAAAAGAGGTGAGATATTTTCCTAAATGCCCGGATTGTCTCTTCTCTTTCCTTTTCTCATTCGCCGGGAACGCGCGCGGTGGGGCGAGGTCGGCGCGAGCTCGACGGCGATAGCGGGCGGCAGACGCACAGCGCAACGGCGAGGCCGGCGGGGCCGCCGCCGACGACGGCGAGGTCGACGGGCCTGGAGCAGGCGGGGCGCTGAGTGTCCGCTGAGGAGCTCGCGCCGAGGAGCGGGACGAAAGCGTTGAGTGAGTCGGTGTTCGCGGCGAAGGCGCTGAGTGTCCGCGGCGAAGACGACAACGACGGCGAGGGCGGTGGCGCGTCGCCACCAACTCCCTCTCCGGCAGCAGCTCACGGCCCATCAACATCTCCCTGGACAAGAGGAAAACTGGCCAGCTAGTAGCTAGCAGCAGCCAAGCACACGCCGGCGAGCTCGCTCCACCAGTAAGAAGATGGCTGCTAGCTAGCTCCTTCAGACTTGAGAGCTTGAGCAGGCAACAATGGTGAGCTCCTTCAGACTTCAGACTTCAGAGCTTGAGCAGGTAGCAAGGAGGCAGCTGCAGCCGGCGAGGGGCTCGATCTGGTCTCTAATTTGCAAGTCGGCGCACGCACAGACGCCCGCTTGTGCGTGCCAGCAGGCAGTCCGTCGTCAGTCACAGGCTCATAGGTGCGAGCCAGCAGACAGGCCGACCGCCATCGAAGCCGCCGCCGCCGGACATATGTGGGCCGCAAGCCGAGCGGCGCGGATGGGCGCCCATGCGACGTCTACCACGCGGAAGCACCTGCCTCCAACACCGGCAATGGCGATGGATCAAATCGATGGAATTGTCCGAGCAAAAGGGAAAGAAGAGAAGGGGCAAAACTATCATTTTACGTGGTTTCTCCCTCGTCAATTCAGTGGATACTATATTTTAATACGCACAATGTCTTGCAGCAAATTACCACACTTTTAAAGTGTCCTCAGACAAATTCACGTCTTTCAGGTGTCCCACAACTAATTACACAATTTTTTAAGTGTTCTGTAGCAAATTTTGCAAAAAAAAAGGAATATTTCAATGTGCATATGTCCCTCTCTTGACATTGCAGTCGTGTCGTGTGTACGTAGAAATAGAAATAGTTGCTCCTAGTTGATATCGGATTGTGTTCACCCTGATTTCTGATTCTTATTCTGAGATCGAATCGGATTTGCTTTGATCTCCGATTTCCTTCCTACATGTTGTGCAGATTGCTATACATGTGTGTATATATACAAAGGCATAGCACCTGGCCGATCGGTTGAGGTGTGCTGCAACCTGCAAACCGGAGGGAGACAAAGAACATGGCGATTACGGAGGAGGATGTGCCGGCGGCGAAGAAGATGAAGACGACGACAGAGGATGATCATGAGGAGGTGTTGCTGGCGTATCCCCCGCGCAAGAAGGAGGATGGGAAGAAGATGAAGAAGGTGGTGAAGAGGCTGGGGAAGGAGGAGGTGGAGAGGCTGCTGTCGGTGACGGTGACCGTGCCGACCCTCAGCAAGGAGGCGATGGAGGAGGACGATGAGGAGGATGTGCGGGAGAGGGAGATGCTGCTCCGAGCCGCATGCGCAAGGACCAGGTCCTCATCCGCTCCCAGTTCGAGGCCAAGGGCTACGTCGACGTCCTGGACGAGGTCTCCGACGACGACGACGACATGGAGATGGAGCCGTTGTAACATAACCTCACCTGTAATCTGAAATATACTGGAATAAAACACATACCGACCGGCAATTTCTTTTGATTACGGATTTATTTTTTAAGTAGTTAAGATCTTGATTAACTAGACCCGTCACATCAGCGTCACCTCTAAAACCTACAGCATCGAGCTTCACAATGCAGGTTGGAAACATCTGAATATCTGCCAGTCTCTTGCCCTTGAGCTTCACAATGCAAGTATGTATCCCCCGGAAAAAAAAATATGGAGTATGTACGGTAGCACAGTTGTTGGAATATAAAGCTGTGATCATTGTTTCCTAGAACTGTCGCTTCAAGCATTGTTGTCATTCCTTTTGCCTCCGTCCAGATTTGTTTCTGACAGTGTACGTATCCATTACTCAGATAAGAGCCTGATGTGGTGCAGCAAGCAATGGTATTTGCTATGCCTTCTGAATGTTAATACATCCCGTGTTTTTTAACTGATGCTTCCAACAACGGGAGTGGATTCTAATCGCTCGAGGGGATATCCCCTCGTATACTTTTTTCTTCTAAATTTGATGCAAATAGTTGTGAAAAAGTCTGAAAAAAATTGACAATATAGAGTATAATGGTACCTGCTAGCTAGTACACCAAAATTCAAGTTCAAATTCGATCTACACATCGAGAAAAAAAAAACAAATTTAGATATAAATAGTGCGCTAGTATTCATATGCTGATTTTTTCTTTTTTATATCTCGACGTGTGAGTTGGGTTTGGACTTAAGATTTCGTGGAGTTGTATATATGTGGTGTATGAATATTATCAAATTTTTCCAAATTTTTCATAACCGTTTAGATGGTTTTTATGCAAACGAGGGAACCCTTGAGAGATTAAAATATAGTTTCCCTCCTTGGGACATTTGTTATTCCGTCTTCCTCTGTCCAGATGTGTTACTGAGCGAGCATCCAGAATTACATGAGAACCTGATGTGATGAAGCGAGCAAATTGTTGGTATTTGGCGTGCCGTCTGAACATGTTCTTGTTCTCTTGTTAATTGATGCAACCATTGGCACATGGGTTAATGGGCCAACCCAAAAAAAAAATTACTAGCTTTGCAGAGCCAGCCGATTGATCTGTCAATCTGTATGACAGGATTAATTGAGATGGAATCGTATTCGCTGTTGTCTCCTATTTCCTTTGTGTACAAGTTGTGCAATCTACGGTGTATATAATCCGATTCAGGAGGTGTGCGGCTAATATAATCCGATACGATTTCGTATTCACGACCCAAGAATTTGTATATAATCGGATCGAGGTGTGTACATCTGATATGTGTTGAAGATCCCAGACTGGCTAGCAATCTGACCCAGAGGAAGACGAAGAACATGGCGATGACGGAGGAGGATGTGCCGGCGGCGAAGAAGATGAAGACGACGACAGAGGATGATCATGAGGAGGTGTTGCTGGCGTATCGGTCGCGCAAAGAGGATGGGAAGAAGAGGAAGAAGGTGGTGAGGAGGCTGGGGAAGGAGGAGGTGGAGAGGCTGCTGTCGTTGAAGCTGGCCGTGCCGACCCTCAGCGAGGAGGTGGTGATGCCTATGCCTGACGACGACGAGGATGATGTGTGGCAGAAGGAGGTGCTGCTCCGAGCCAACCGGTTGTTGAGGGAGAGCGCCATCAGGATGCGCAAGAACCAGGAGCTTATCCGCTCGCTCTTCGAGGCCAAGGGCTACGTCGACGTAGAGGATGAGGTCTCCGACGACGACGACATGGACATGGAGATGCAGCCGGTGTAAACAATATTTCTAGTACATGCTCATGGCTTTGTAAATAATCCGCTAGCTTCTCTTGAAGCCCTCATGTCCTTGTCTACAGAGAATATATGAATATATTTCTAGTACTGGAGTATTATTTATGACTTTCTTCACTTTGATGATGTATGTTATCTTCCTCTGTTTTTCCCATCCATGACAAAGTGCTGGTGATCGAAATCTTGGAGTAGAACACATACCGGAAAACATGGAACTTCCATTGTTGGCCAATTTAAGCCCCTTGTGTAAGGGGGTGTTTAGATCCAGGGTGGGGGTGTTTAAATCCAGGGGTGAAAAGTTTTGGCGTGTCACATCGGATATATGGACACACATTTGAAGTATTAAATATAGTCTAATAACAAAACAAATTACAGATTCTGCATGTAAACTGCGAGACAAACTTATTAAGCATAATTAATCCATCCTTAGCAAATGTTTACTGTAGCACCACATTATCAAATCATAGAGCAATTAGGCTTAAAAGATTTATCGCGTAAATTAGTCGTAATCTGTGCAATTAGTTATTTTTTAGCCTATATTTAATACTTCATGCGGGTGTTCAAACGTTCGATGTGATAGGGTAAAAAATTTTAGGGTAGGATCTAAACAAGGCTTAAATCGATGAGGATCAGGAAATTTCGGTTCTATCGTCCTCCATCCGATACGAAATTATTTGGCCGAAGTTTTGGACTCTTTTTTTAAAAAAATTGCAAAGTTTAACCAAATTTTATATCGGTATCCCCAGTACCAATAACGAAAATGATCGATAGTTTGAACCCAGCGAGGATCTGCTTGCTGTCTAGTGTGAACAAGGTCCTTTTATGACCATGAAATAGACAATGTACTCCCTCCATCCCAAAATAAGTGTAGTTTTGCACTGTTTATGTCTCACGTTTGACCGTTCGTCTTATTTGAATTTTTTTTACAATTAATATTTTTATTGTTATTAGATGATAAAATATAAATAGTATTTTATGTGTGACTAACTTATTTTAATTTTCTCATAAATTTTTCAAATAAGATGGACGATCAAACATTGGATACGGATTCTCATGGCTGCACTTATTTTGGGACGGATGTAGTACTAGATAGAGAATTACCACCAAATCAATATTGGTTTGAATTCTTAATCAGTGGCGGATGTATAGTTGGTTGGGGGCTCCATAACAACAGCTAACAATGGTGACAAAAATCGGCTTTATCAGTTCAGGGACCGGTTGTATCTGGTTTTTGGATTGACAGAAATCGGATTCGGTGTAAAGCTAAGGGGCCTCAAATGAACTTATTCCTAACAATGGTGAGGATGTGTGATTGCAGAAGTCCGGGTGTGGCCTAGTAGGCTGGGCTTGTCCGAGTCAGATTACGTCCGAGAGGAGAGGAAAAAGTACACCGAAGGTCCCTCAACTTGTCATCGACTTACAAAATCATCCCCCAACCGCAAAACCGAATATAACGCATCCCCCAACTTACAAAACCAGTGTAAACTAGGTCCCTCAGCGGTTTTGACCCTAGTTTTGTCCGACGTGGCAGCTGAGTCAACGTGGGACCCATATGGGTCCCACATGTCAGGATGCCACGTCAGCAAGCCAGCCTCTCCCTTCCTCTCCTTTCCTCCTCTCTCTCTCTCACACACACTCTACACACAACGTGGAACCTGGAATGGTGGGGCGGGCTCATGGGCGCCGGGCACGACTACTACAAGCGCGCCACCGCCGCATCGCCGGCGGGCCATCCGACCTCCTCGCCCCGCGTCGCAGCCGCTGTCGTCACTCCGCCACCGCGAGCCCGCCGACGCCGCCTCGCCCTACTGCCGCCTTCCCCTTCTCCCGTGTCTCCGCCGCCGCATCGCCAGCCGGCCGTTGGACCTCCTCGCGCCGGCGACCTCCTCCCCACCACCGGTCGGCCTGCCCAGAGTGTAGAGAGAAGAGAGTGTGTGTGTGAGAGAGAGAGAGAGAGAAGAGGAAAGGAGAGGAAGAGAGAGGCCGGCCTACTGATGTGGCATCCTGACATGTGGGGCCCACGTGGGTCCCACGCTGATTCAGCTGCCACGTCAGACAAAACCGGGGTCAAGACCACTGAGGGACCTAGTTTGTATTGGTTTTATAAGTTGGGGATGCGATGTATCCGGTTTTGCGGTTGGGGGACGATTTTGTAACTCGATGACAAGTTGAGGAACCGAACTTTTTCCGAGCGGAGAGGATGCCAAATATTAAGCCCAACCCAGAGGTGGTGATCGAGTCGAGTCGAACCAACCAAAAGAGAGAAGAAGAAGCAAGCCCCCCAAAATCCCTAGCAATGGAGAAGGAGTTAGATGGGGAGAGTACATGTGCTGCTCCATGCGAGAAGAAGCGGCTGATTCCAAGCTGTTTCGAGTGGGGTACGGTGCCGGCGACGAAAAAGATGAAGACGGAGGAGGATTTGGAGGTGTTGCTGGCCTATCCATCGCTTGGCGAAGGGAAGAAGAAGAAGAAGGTGGTGGTGAAGAGGCTGGGGAAGGAGGAGGTGGAGAGGCTGCTTCTGTGAGCAAGAAGGTGCTGGGCAGCGACGTGGTGCCTGCACGGCACAACGAGATCCTGCTCTAAGAGCAAGTATACTTGTAGGCTATAAGCCAACTATAAGCTTATGTGAATGAAAGAGAATTTGAAAATTGGAGAGGGTTAGCTCTCATACAAGAGCTAGCTATTCACATACTTCAAGATAAATACATTAAATGTATAGGTAAGAGATAGAGAGAGGAGGAGAAAAAAAAGAGATAACCTTGTAGCTCACTTACTATACATGTTAACTTTAATATAAGAGAAAAACTACTGTATGGGATACCGTCCAAATGGAATAGTTTAAGGAAGTATTCTATGACTTCCTTGATACGGTCTGATTTCGTGCACACATGTCTCCAGCGACACGCGGACACGAGCAGCTAACCAAAGTGTGTTGCAGACCTGCAACCCTCATGAGTGCTCGTGGGCACGTGACACGAGCAGATATGTCACATCAATATCTGAGTTGGTGACAATACAATATGATAAAGCTAGGCAAATCAGTGTATTTATGGGTGCATGTTCACACTGAGAAGACATCGGACTTTAATTGTGCTTTTCTCATTCCGGGAATTGTACAGGACCATATCCTTTTGGACAGAAATATGTATCAGTTTTTGATATCTTTTAGGTTTCATGATATCTAAACGGTATCAGGTGATACCTCTTAAGTATTACTTGATACTTGGTAGAAATCGTGTGGTCCCTGATTGGAATCATCCGATACCTGATGAGTATCACCGTTTGGACAGAAATATGTATCAGGTAATCCTGATACCAGTTTCTGATACCTGATAAGTATCACCGTTTGGACGGAAATATGTATCACGTCCTGATACCTAACCGGTATCAGGTGATACCTATCAGGTATCGGGTGATACCTCGCAAGTATTATATGATACCTGGTAGAAATCGTGTGATACCT